TCACCGCGCCCGGCCCTGGACTAAAAGAGTTTTAAGAGACAGATGAAATGAGTGGACTTTGTCTGGCTCTTGCTGAATGAGTAAAAACCAGACCCCAAAGAACATATACTCATTTATATAACATTCCTGAAGTGACAACATGATCAGAATGGAGAATAGAGTAGTAGTTGCCAGGGGTTGGAGTTGCTGTTGGGTCTTGGGGGAGCAGTTCTGTATTTTGACTGTGTTGGTAAACAAACCAACCTACAATAAAATTAAATACATACATATGCCCAAATGAGTAGGACTAAAATGGGATTGTTTCAACGTCAGTCCCCTAGTTGTGATTGTTAGGCTATAGTTTTGCAAAATGTTACCACTGGGGAAAACTGGGTCAAGGCTACACAGGATCTTTCTGTATTATTTCATACAAATGCATGTGAAACTGCAATTATCTAAGAATAACAAGGTTTTTTTTTTTTACATAGTACTGCAATTATAGCATTTTGCAATTAGTATGATTAATACAAGCAAAGCTTAGATTGAGATATAAAAGTAAGATAAATGTTTAATGTGCTGTGCATTTAAGTAATAAAAGATTTGTTAGCAATGAGAACACTTAACAATTCAAGTGCTAATTATTCTGCTTCGTATATAAAAATATTACCTGGAAAAGTAAATAACTCATTTACTTTCTATTTGTTATTACCTAACAATCTTTTCTGTTCACTGCTGCTATTTTACAAAGGCCTGGGCTAACAAGGCCAGAGGAGAAATGGCAAGTGATGGAGCTGAAGCAAAGAAGCGAAAACGTGTAGTTGATGAAAGTGATGAAACAGAAAACCGGGAAGAAAAAGCAAAAGAGAATCTGGATTTGCCTAAAAAGCAGAAACCTTTAGATTTTTCTGCGAATCAGAAACTATCAGCTTTTGCATTTAAGCAGGAGTAAAGGAAGAAAGTGACCCTAGGAAAGTAATGGATTTTTTTACTCATCTTTGAATATGGACTTGAGTCTTTGGGAAACTCATCATATATATTTTTTTTTTGGGACGGAGTTTCGCTCCTGTTACCCAGGCTGGAGTGCAATGGCGCGATCTCGGCTCACCGCAACCTCCGCCTCCTGGGTTCAGGCAATTCTCCTGCCTCAGCCTCCTGAGTAGCTGGGATTGCAGGTACGTGCCACCATGCCCAGCTGATTTTTTGTATTTTTAGTAGAGACGGGGTTTCACCATGTTGACCAGGATGGTCTCGATCTCTTGACCTCGTGATCCACCCGCCTCGGCCCCCCAAAGTGCTGGGATTACAGGCTTGAGCCACTGCGCCCGGCCGTCGACACTTAGTAATCTTTTATATAAATGTTACTATTACGATGATGCTGTTTATATCATCTGGCTTTGTCATTAGGCTTGATTCTGAATACTATATGAACTAATTTATATTTCAAGATCTTAAGTAAAGGTCTATTTATAATACTTTGCAAAGCATGTTTATAGACATGTATTTTGTTTTTAGTTCCTCAACTTGCTTTGCATATAGTTTATAATGCTAGGTTGGTACAAAAGTAAATGCAGTTTTGCCATTTCAGTGGCAAAAACCGTAATTACTTTTGTGCCAACCTAATGCTTAAGGATATAATGTGTGAGTGTTGTATTTCAGATTCATAGCAACCTGATAATACCAAGGATTTACAAAAGGGTTTTTAATTCCCTACTTTTATTTGCCTGAAGGAAGGTTTTTGTATTGACTTGGTTTAACTTAAAAATCAGAACTTTGAAACCAAGAAACGTTTTCCTTATTTCTTTGCAATATAATAGTAAACCTGTTTTTTTCCATTGTTTTTTCCAGAGAATTGGGACTTGATAGTAGGAAAGTAAAAATGGAAATAAATTAATACATTAATCATCATCATATCAATAATTATTGCCTGTTTGAGCTTATTGTATACTATAGAAAATTGACATATACTTAATTTTATTCTCCAAAAGCAAAAACTTATCAGAGGAGGTTTCTTTACAGATTTACACTCATTAGAAGGGTGTCCTCTAATTCTTTCAGAGAGCAAGTGAGTAGGCCTGGGATTATGTGCAACTCTGGGGACTCTGCTGTGATCTATAGCCTCTCATATCTGTGCAGCAGCCTAGGGTGAGTCACTGTCACTAACGTGGAACAAATGTCAGGTAGTCCCTTTGGACAAAAGCATGAGACCCATCCATGTAGAAAGCATCTTAATTGGTGATTATTTGTCTTAACGAGCCTTCTTTGTCTCCTATCTGTTTTATTATCAGAATATATAATTTTCCCCCAGGTTTTCATCTTGAGTCTCTCAAACCTACAGAAAATTTGAAATTTTACAGTAAACACCCATATGTCCTTCCTCTAATTTTTCTTATTGTTGACGTTTTACCATGTATGCTTTATAGATAGGATTTTTCCTGAACTGTTTGAAATATGCATATACTGCATTCCTCAGTACCCAGGAGGTACTCTAAGAACAAAGATTTTCTTCTACATAATCACAATGCCATAATTACATCAAAGAAATTTAACTGGTGATATTATTACGTAGCCTGTATTTTATAATAAAATTTCCCTCAAAGTGCCTGTTAGCCATTTTTGCCCCCAGTTTAGGATACAATCAAGAATTATGCATTGTATTTAATCATTAGAGGTAAATACTTTTTTTTTTTTTTTTTTTTTTGAAAGACAGGGTCTCTCTCTGTCACCCAGGCTGAAGTGCAGTGGCATGATCACGACTTACTGTAGCTTTGACCTCCCCAGGCTCAGGTGATCCTCTTGCCTCAGCCCCAAGTAGCTGGCTATATGCCAATATGCCTGGCTAGTTTTTGTATTTTTTTTTTGGAGATGGAGTTTCGCTCTTGTTACCCAGGCTGGAGTGCAATGGCGCGATCTCGGCTCACCGCAACCTCCGGCTCCTGGGTTCAGGCAATTCTCCTGCCTCAGCCTCCTGAGTAGCTGGGACTGCAGGCACGCGCCACTATGCCCAGCTAATTTTTTTGTAGTTTTAGTAGAGACGGGGTTTCACCATATTGACCAGGATGGTCTCGATCTCTTGACCTCGTGATCCACCCGCCTCGGCCTCCCAAAGTGCTGGGATTACAGGCGTGAGCCACCGCGCCCGGCAGTCTTTGTATTTTTTATAGAGATAATGTTTCACCATGTTGCCCAGGCTGGCCTCAAACTCCTGGGCTCGGGATATCTGCCCACCTCGGCTTCCCAAAGTGTTGGGATTGCAGGTGTGAGCCATCAGTTCTGGTCATAAATACTTTTTAATATAGGTAAGAATGAGGGAAAAACCACCCCCATTCCTAATACGCAGATATAACCCCTATTAACATTTTGGTGTATGTCATTAAGGCTTTTTTTTTAATGCGGATGTTCTTTTTTCCATTTCATGTATTTTAGATATTTTTTCCTGTAAGTAAACACAGATCTACATCATTATGCTGGTCACATAATGTTCATCTGTATTCTTTCTAGTACCTATCATAGTCCTTTTTGCAAGCAACCCTTGTTTTTTCATTTAGGTTTTATATAACCAGCATTTTCTTACCTACCATCCCACCCCATATGTTTCATTTGAAAATCACACTTTCACACTTCAGCTAACAAACTAACATTTTGAGCTGCCAACCCAGTATTCAATTTAAGTAGCATTTGTACCTTAGTTTGCATAGCGTTATTGAGACAATTTCCCAAATATAATAGGGTTTTTTTTCTCCTAAAGTCATTACTCATAATTGAGAGAGTTTATATTCGAGACTAGAGTGCTCTCAGTAACTGTACTTGAATTACAGAGTAATGTTCAGAGAAAACATACAAGGTTAAAATGACTGCAGACATTAACATTGGCCACCTGATAGAATGAATTAAATAGGGGACAAAATTTAACAGATTTATTCGTTATTTCTGGAATTTATTGCAAGTGTAGTGCATCTTTATAAACTCTAGATCATTTTTTAAAAGCAAAATGACCTTAATTGCCAGCATGGTGGATTAGATATACCAACCTACTGTTACATTGAAAATGCATGGTGCCCAGGAGTGGTGGCTCATGCCTGTAATCCTAGCACTTTGGGAAGCCAAGACGGGTGGATCACCTGAGGTCAGGATTTTGAGACCACCTTGGCCAACATGGTGAAAACCCGTCTCTTAAAAAAAAAAAAAAGAAAGAAAATGCATGGTAAAATGTTTAAAGCATTCACATGCAATAAAGTGCTGGCAATTTAGTAAGGAATTCTCAGAAGCCAAAAACTAAGTGAAAGTGGCAACCCAGAGGGGAGCAGAAAGTTGAAGCCAGCTTTCATTTTGAGGGCATTTACCAAACTCCCATACTTGTTACAATGACTGCATTACAAACCACCCCAACATTTAATGACTTAAAACAATCACAGTGTGTGTATCTGTTTGAGACAGCCTCTCTGTCACCCTGGCTGGAGTGCAATGGCATGATCTTGGTACACTGCAGCCTCCACCTCCTGAGTTCAGGTGATTCTCTGGCCTCAGCCTCCTGCATAGCTAGGATTAAGAGCACGTGTCACCACACCCAGCTAATTTTTGCGTTATTAGTAGAGACAGGGTTTCGCCATGTTGGCCAGGCTGGTTTCAAACTCCTGACTTCGAGTGATCTGTCTACCTCAGACTTCCAAAGTGCTGGGATTACAGGCGTGAGCCACCACATCCAGCCCTAAGCTTAGAATTGGAAGGATGGCCTGTGCCAGAGTGGGTAGAAGGTGGTCGTCTGTGATTGACACTAATTTCTGCCCACTATGGGACTATATTATAAAGGAAAGAAATTAATGGAATAGGAAGTAAACATAATTCAATAAGAAAGCCAAAAGTTGGCCTTTCGATAGATTAATGAATTAGAATAATCTTTATAAGATTGATCAAGATGAGAGAAAAGCACAAAAAATAATTTTAGGAATGAAAAGAGATTAACTACAAATGATACAGGTATAAAAAAGAAGCTTGTGATCAGTTTTGTGTGTTAACTTGCCTAAGCTAGAGTCACCAGTATTCAGTCAAATACTTACCTATATGTTGTGAAGGTATTTTATGGATTATATTAAAGTTCATAATCAGTTGAATTTGCAGAAGAGAGAATATCCTAGATGATCTCTATGGGCCTGATTCAATCAGTTCAAAGGCCATAAGAGCAAAACTGAGGCTCCCCTGAGGAAAAAGAAGACGTTATACCTGTGAGTAGCAACTTCAGCTCATGCCCAAGGCTTCAAGCCTGCCAATCCTGAAGATCTGGCCTGTGGATTTAGGGTTTGAGACTTGCTGTGCCAGCCCCATAATTATGTGAGCCAATTTATTTCAAGAAATCTTACACAGATATATATATCCTACTGGTTTTTGGTTGAACACTGATTAAAGGTATTACAAACAATTTTATGACAATAAATTGAAAAACTTTGATGAACAGGTATGTACAAAAGCAGCACTTATCAAAATTGACGAGACATTTATGATAAAGATAACAAAACATTTAGTAATAAATTTAACACAATAAGTGCAAAACTTACACTTTGAAAACTATAAAACATTGTTGAAAGACAGAAGAACTAAATAAATTGAAAGCTATCTCACAGTTATGGACCAGAAGAGTTAATACTGTTAACATGATAAACACTCCCTAAACTTATCTACAGATTCAGTGTAATCCCTGTCAAAACCACAGCTGGCTTCTTTGCAGAAATTGACGAGCTGGTCCTAAAATTCATATGCAAATTCAAGGGATCCAAATAGCTGAAACACTCTTGAAAAAGAAGTTGGAGGATTCACCCTTAATTTTCAAAACTTACTACAAAGACAGTGTGGTACTGGCTTAAGAATAGATGTAAAGGTTAATGGAATAGAATGGAGAATCCAGAAATAAACCCTCACTTTTACCATTAATTGATTTTTAACAAGAGTGCCAGGAAAATTTAGTGGAAAAAAGATACTCTTTTCCACAAATGGTGCTGGACAGCTAGACACATCCAAAAGAAGTTGGAGCCCTACTTCACATCATATAGTG